GGATATGAAATCAACATACAAAAATTGATAGCATTTCTGTATGCCAACAGTGAACAATGGGAAAAAGAAATAAAACATAATCCCATTTGCAGTAGCCACACATAAAATTAAATACCTAGGAATTAACTAAAATAGTGAAAGATCTCTATAATGAAAACTATAAAACACTGATAAAAGATATCAAAAAGGACACCCAAAGATAGAAAAATATTCCATGTTTATTTTAAAATGCCCATACTGCCTATAGTAATCTACTGATTCAGTGAAATCCCTATGCAAATACCAACACCCTTCTTCACAGAAATAGAAAAAAGAAAATCTAAAATTTATATGGAACCACAAGTGACCCAGAATAGCCAAAAGTATCCTAAGTCAAAAAATAAAAATAAAGCTGGAGGAATTGCATTACCTGACTTCAAATTATGCTACAGAGCTATAGGGACCAATACAGCATGCTACTGGCATAAAACAAACACATAGACCAATGGAACAGAATAGAGAATCCAGAAAGAAACCTGTACACCTACAGTGAACACCTTTTTGACAAAGGTGCCAAGATCATACACTTCAGAAAAGAACATTTCTTTAATAAATGGTGGTGGGAAAACTAAATATTCACATGTAGAAGAATGAAACTAGATCCCTATTTATCACCAGATACAAAAAATCAAATAAAAAGACTTAAATTTAAGATCTCAGATTATGAAACTACTACAAGAAAACATTGCAGAATATCTCCAGGACATTGGTCTGGGCAAAAATTTTTTGAGCAATACCCTACAAGCACAAACAACCAAAGTAAAAATGGACAAATAAGATCACATCAAATCAAAAACCTTCTGCACAGCAAAGGATACAATCAACAAAGTGAAGAGACAACCCACAGAAAGGGACAACATACTTGCAAACTACCCATCTGACAAAGGATTAATAACCAGAATACATAAGGAGCTCAAACAACTCTGCAGAAAAATAAAATCTAATAATCCATTCCAAAAAGGGCAAAATATTTGCATAGACGTTTCTCAAAAGTAGGCACACAAATGGCAAAAAGACATATGAAAAGGAGCTCAACATCACTGATCATCAGAGAAATGCAAATCAAAACTACAGTAAGATATCTTCTCACTCCAGTTAAAATAGCTTATATCCAAAAGACAGGCAATAGCAAATCCTGGCAAGGATGTGGAGAAAAGGGAACCCTTATACACTATTGTTGGGAATGTAAATTAGCACAATCATTATGGAGAACAGTGTGAGGGATCCTCAAAAAACTAAAAATAGAGCTACCATATAATCCCACAATCCTACTTCTGGGCATATATCCAAAAGAAAAGAAATCAGTATATCAAAGAGATATCTGCTCCCAAGTTCTTACTTATCTGTGGGATCTAAAAATCAAAACAATTGAACTCATGTACATAGAAAGTAGAAAGATGGTTCCCAGAGGCGGAGAAACATAGTGGGAAGATGAGGGAGGAGCCAGGAGGTCAGGCGGGGATGGTTAATGGGTACTAAAATATAAATAGAAATAATGAGTAAGACCCATGATTTGATAGCACAACAGGGTGACTATAGTCAATAATAACTTTATTGTACATTTAAAAATAACTTAGAGTTTAATTGGATTGTTTGTAACTGAAATACTGAATGATTGGGGGATACATACCATATTCTCCCTGATACGCTTACTTCACATTGCATGCCTACATCAAAACATCTCATATATATAATTTATACATATATTGTGATCCGAAAAGTAAAATGTAAAAATTAAAATAAAATAAAACAATAAAAGCAAATTGGTTCTGATGGTTCTTATTGGCAGTGATGGGAAAAAGCATTTGACAGATTAATAATTGCATACGAGATACCAAAGGATGTGTTAATTTTCTCAAGCTCCTTTTCATATGCTTTTTTGTCATTTGTGTGTCTACTTTTGAGAAATGTCTATGAAATTTGCTTCAGAAAATTACCAGAGCTGTAATTGAAGTCACCACTTAGTTAAGCTTACAATAATTCACTGACATTCTCCAAGATCCATCTGTCTTAGGCATGTCAAATAGGCTAATGGAATGGGGATATGATGGGAATCATCACCTCTGCATCTTTCAAGTCCTTGATGGTGGCACTAATCTCTGTAATCACCCCAGGAATGCAATATTGCTTGTAGTTTACTATTTTCCCAGTTCTAGAGGCTTTTTCTTGGCCTCTTCTCCCATAAGAATCTTCACATTAACAGTAGACACTCAAAGAGGCTCAGAATTACACAAGTTGTAATTCAGCCAATTTCAGGAGGAGATTCTACAGTTGATTTTCAGCCATATCAGCTTTGTGGCTATGGTAGATAAGATTCTCTTTAAGGGCACATGTAAAAGCTTTCAGGTCCTTTATGAGCTCATCCTTTTCTTTCCTCACCTCATTCAGAGACAATAGTAGCAACCAGCTAACGTTAGTATACTCATTAGTTTCCTGAAAATATTTAAAAGTGTTATATACATAGTCAAACAGGTTCTTGCCTTTTTTAAGTCATTGATTAAGAGTGTCCAGTGGTGACATGTTGGACTATCATCAGAGCTCTCTTTGCTACTGAAAGTAGAGTCATTAGTATTTTTAAATCTAATCTAATTATAGAGCCAATTCTAGAAACTCCAGAACCAATTCAGAAAACTTATTCTTAAAGTTCTGTCTCTCTAGAACCATTCCTAGCTTCAAAATTTGTATTAGTGTTCTCTATACAAACAAAATAAAAAAGATTTCATATATCTATATAATAAAAATATAAAATTTATATAAACATATATGGGTATATATAATTTATCTCTCAATATATACATATATATAGTAAACATAAAAGTTAAAAATATTTTAAATTTTACATTTACTTTTCCCTCTCTCTTTCCATATATATGTGTGTGTGTGTGTGTGTGTGTGTGTGTGTGTCTGTATATACAGGGATAGAGAGTGAAAGAGAAATTTATTATAAGAAATTGGCTCATACCATTGCAATTATGGCTGAGATCTCCCAAGATCTGCAATCAGCAAGCTAGATACCAAGGAGAACCTATAGTATGGATCCAGTTTGAAGACAATTGCTTGAGAACCCAATGGTATAACCTCCAGCCTGAAAGCTGGTAGGCTGAAGACCCAAGAACCAATGTTTCAGTCCAAGTTCAAAAGCTACAAAATGCCAATATTCTAGCTCATGCAATCAGGCAGAAAGAATCCCCTTTTACTCTTAAGATTGTCAGCCTTTTTATTCTATTCAGGTCTTCAACTGATTACAGGAGATCCACTCACATTGGGAAGGAAATCTGCTTACTCAGTCTACTGATTCAAATGTTAATCTCATCCAAAAACACTCTCACAGACACAGTCAGAATAATGTTTGATGAAATATCTGGGCATGCTGTGACTCAGTCAAGTTGATACAAAATTAAACATGACATGTTACTGAACACAAATACTTTGCACATCAGAAAAAATGAAAACTTCAAATAAGTAGGCCAAAAATATTGCTATTTTAATATTCCCTTTCTAATTGATCTCAGTTTTACTTAGTTAAAATTTTTCACAAGTCTTTCTTTTGAGGCCCCTGCCTAGAATATCTTTGCTTTACAGTTGTTGCAATTGTACCCTCTGTTCAATTCATCTGCATATTTCTAACCAAATCAATACCTTATACTTCTGCCCTCCTGTAACATTTACATGCTCCTCTTTTAGCAATCAACACAGCTTGTCTTTTGGTAGGGATGTAGAGGTGTCTGTATATTGCCTGTTTCTCTCAACGAGTTCCTTAGCTTCCAGTACCAAAAAGTCATTTAATTTTTTAAAATCTTAATCACATATTTAATTTAATATGTCCCCAAAATAATCATTTCCAAAAGTTGTTAATTTTGATACCTTGCTGAATTAAGTGGACTATCCTGTTCCTCCTAAATGTTCAACAAGTGTTTATTGAGGTGAATAAAATTTCTTAAAGTAAACAAATCTCCTATTTGAAAACTGGAAAAGTCTACCAACATGAATAGTGGATCATATTTAAAACTCTCTTAGTTAGAATTTTGGACACATATTTTTTACATTAAAGGCTCAGTCCCAATCCTACATTTCAATTTCACATACACATAGCAATTTCCTGACTGAATATTCTAAATTGCAGTCCACTGGAGGACTCTAGCAAATGGTCCCTTCTCCCCACATATGGTTTATCTCACACAGAAAGACCCACATCTGCAACCTGAGTCAACCTTTGCAGAAAGAAAAACACTGTAGAGTGTGGAAACTTTATTACTATTCTTAATTGCATTCTTGGTACAGTGGGAGTAATGATTTTACTGCACTTTACAGAATAAACCACTTATTTCACCTCTAGCACTTTCTTCCAGAAGAGAATCGAGTCTATTAAACAAATAGTTGGCCACTAGTGGCTTAAAAAATTAGTATTTACAAACAATGTAAAAGTAAAGTCATTTTGAAATAAAAGTTGTCATAAACATGTGATGGTGGACAGTAAATAGTTAAAGAAATAAGAGATGATAGAATGTGAATAAAGAATTTCAACCAGGTGAATTGGTAACTTCTCATGGTACACAATTTTTGGCATTGGAAAGTTTCTCCTCCTCCATTTTCTCTAAACTGTCAACCCCCTCCAAAATTTCTTGGGGAAAAATCCTAAAATTCTCTAAATCTAGATAGTATATTTTTAGGCTGCTAGTGTGCTAGATGTGAAGTTGTACTTATCAACCCTAGAAAGAATGTAATGTTCCCTGGTTCTTCAAAGCAACCAGATTTAGAATCAACAGTGAAAATGTTAGTGTTGGATTTTAATGTTGAATTGGTTTGCATTGTAGAGCAGAGGAAGATTGACACCATAGGAGGCCCTTGCAGCATATGGCTTTGTCCATCTGGAAAGGGGGTAGTGTGCTATTGTTGCCAGTTCTCACTGTATGTTCTGGGTTTAGATAAGTCTAAATAAAAATAAAATAAAACATGTGTATTACACTTAGGCAAAATGTTTAGTACTTTATAGTCATACATGAAGTAAATTTAGAGGAGGATAGGTCTATCCCCTATGCTGGTCTATTCTGGAAATTTAGTGTTAGAGAAAAGCAACTTGAAGTCAGGGCAACAAATCAGCACAGGTAAGGATTCTCTAACTTTGCCAGGATAATAAAAAATGGTTGACAGAAGAAAGACTGCCTGTAAGATTTCCCTGATTATTGTTTAGGAAGAAACATTGCCTTCCCCTAGCAGCTAAGGAACTGTAGTACAAAAATACCTCGAGCAGAGAAGCTTTATTTCTTCTATTAAGCACTGTATGCCCAGAACACAGCACAATATCTTGCATGTAGTAGACACCCAAAATATTCTTTGCAAGTTTGAGTGGGGAGGTTACACAATGCGTACCTACCAGCGCACTCTGAGCCTTGGCTACTCTTCCTACTTAAACAAGGCTGAGTTTCTGTCTTTTAATTTTACTATTTGATATTTAACTATTAAGATGACATAATTAGTCTACAATAAGAGGTATAAAAGGTAAGGTAAATGAGGACCTCTTGTCATTGTCAATGTCATCCTGACTCCATATGCTCTCAGAGAAACTTTTCTAGGTTTCCCTTTTTAAAGTTACAACATTAATAGCTTTGAGCAAATGATTTTTAAAAATTTAGTGAACATTTTCAATAAAGCTCTTGCTTTTTGGCAAAAACTGATTCCCTCTTTTCTTCCCTTTATTTCTTTAAATATATCATTTTTCCTCTGGATCCCCCTTGCTGCTTCTCTCTTTCTCTCCCCTTTCTTTCTCTTTCTCCTCTTCACCTCCTTTCCTTTCTATCACTTTCTTTCTCTGGTTCTTCTGTCTGACAAATCACAGAATCTCTTTCTTTCTCTCCCTTTCTCTCTCTCTCTCTCTCTGTATATATATATATATATATACTTACATATCTCTTTATATAGAAATGTATATACTTACATGTCTATATTTATAGATATATAAAGCTATGTTATAAGATATAAACATATTATATCTATATAGAGAAATCTCATCTTTTAAAGCAAATATCAAATATAGTTATATAAACTATAGATATTTTAATGAGGTTATAATAGTATGGGATATTTCTTTTTTTATTTTTTATTTTTTTCTTCCAATCATTATTTTAGGTTCAGGGGGTACATGTGCAGGTTTGGGACATGGGTAAATTGCATGTGGCTCAGGTTTGGTGTACAAATGATTTTGTTACCCAGGTGGTACCCAACAGGTAGTTTTTTTTATCCTCATCCTTCTCTCACCCTCCACCTTCAAGTAAGTCCCAGTGTCTATTGTTCTCCTCTTTGTATCCATGTGCACTCAAGAGACATTTACTTTCTGACTTAAGCAGCTGAGTAATGTCAGAAGTTGCTAATGTTTCCACTTCAAAGAACTTTCTAACATTAGTAGATCAAGTGATCCCTAGAAATATTTTGTAAATTGTATGTCACTACCTTGAACCTGAGAGCCTTTCATAAATGCTTGATATCACTTTCAATAATGATGTTTATATTTTTCTGAAGAGAGAAAAAAGAGATTCCCATTTAATAAAAGTGTTTACCCAATACATTTTTCTTCAGTAGGCAAATAATTGAAACACACTGAAGTATTAAATAAAGTGCATATGGCATTTTGTAAGCATATAATATAGCCTTGGTTATGCATTGAAAACAATGGGTTTTTAGAACATTGTTTCATGGTGGCTGAGAGAGTTTTTTTTTTACAAGAAGTCCAGCACTCTTTGGAAAGGTAGTTATGAGCAGTGCCCGAGGCTTCAGCAAAACCACAGACTTCTGGAGCCTCACCAGCCTAGCCTGGAGCTCTTGTAGGTGGCATTATTTCATTTCTTATTATGGCTGCAAAAAAAGTTTAGTATGAAATGTATTATGTTAACTGAAATTATGAGTTTATTAGTTAAAAAAAGTTTTATGACAATAATCCAATTTAACAACTATTTTTTTAAAAAAGGTTTAAGCATAAGAAAAAAAAATACTATTCCTTTTTCTTTCAATGCTATTTAAAAACACTATTTTAATGGAAAATTTATATGTGCTCAGGATAAAAAAAATCAAATACTCCTAACCTGCACACTTACTCCCCAGAGGCAGCTACTGCCAAAATTTTCTTGTGTTTATATAGCTCTCTTTATGTGTGTATAAATCTTGCTTTCACTCTTTGTGCTTGGACATTTTTTCATAATGAAAACTATTGGTCTCTTATATTAAAATCTGTCATAAAAATCCATTGAATGGTTATGCTATACTTCATTTAACTGGCCCCTTGTTAATGAACAATGAAGTTTTTTCAAATGTATTAATATAAAAGGTTGTATTAAACACTCTTACATTCATCTTTGCCTGCTTGAATTAGTATATTTATTTTGAAAAAGTCCTCACAAATGGAATTGTTGTACCAAGAGTTTCTGCACTTTAAATTTTAATGGGTGGTGTCAAATGGTTATTGAAAGGGAATGTACCTATAAACATTTCCCCACCCACTTCAACATTGGGCAATATTGCATACTTAATCTTTTCCTATCTAAATGATAAGAACTTGAATCTCACAGTGATTTAATTTCCATCTTATCCTGAATGAAGTGGCCCACGTTTTCATGGGATTATTGACATTTCTCTTTCTTTTATGGCAGATTCATAATGTGAATACATTTTTTAATTTGCAGGGCCTCAACGAGTTATCTTAGTTTCTCCCAAATTTCTTTACTAGCTAGCAACAAAAGACTCTTAAAAGAAATTACATGCTCCTTCACCACTCCTGGCCAACAGTTCAGAATCAGGACAAAGAAAAAGTTACAGGAACTAGAGAGAGAAAGTTGGGAAACTGGGGAAAGAAAAAGAAGGGACAATGAGAGGGCCCAGACTCCTGAGTGGTACAATTTTGAACTCCATGCCTGCTGAAAAGAGATATTTAATGCTCTAGTCCATCAGTGTAAGAGACTGACAGCAATTCCAGGATTTTCTCTGGCTCTCACCAACCCTCTTCACCCAGGCAGTAGTAGTTTGGTTGGGCAAGGAGTCAAAAATTCTATAGAAGCATCTTAGTAATGCACTGAATTTGAAACTAAAGGTAAATATATTCCTCAGCACCCCCTTTAGCAGCGTACTTATAAATAAGTAAGGAAAATATATGCATCTACAATTCTTCTATTTCTCTGTTTATCCTTGTGGAGATCAGACACCTAGGAGAATGACTTCAATCATCAAATTCTCCCACCTTGCTTCCATAAAATGTGAGTGAAACATGACAGGCAGATGGGGGTTTTCATAAAATTTGTATCTATTTCTAAGCATGAGTTACTCTATATGACTGTGACTTCTTACAATGCATTAAATGACATCCCCTCACCCTATTGATATGTGAGGGCCATAGAGTGATAAAATTGAAAAATCACACAATAAAATTAGCCTCCTCACTTCATTGCCACCATGCAGAAAGGGCTTTCCATTTACCTTTCTAGTTTTCTAAAAATAAATACATAACTGAGAACAAATCTAACTTTTTCATCCATTACAATGTATCAGTCATTATCTTATTATTTCTTGCCTCATATACTGCTTACTGGCCTGTGCTGAAAATAAAAATCCTTAAGAGAAGTGGGGTTGATACACAAAAGAGCAATGATGATAATATGGGAGGGGGAGTATAATGAATCCTAAAAATGATTAAAAAATCAGTACTTAATCTCTTTTTAAATAAGGAAGCGGCTCAAATTCTCCCTCTTCTGCTGTAGAAAAATTATTTATAGATCTCATACAAGGTGATAGTTTCTGGGCAGGGAACCACTGTCAGCTCTGTCACTCTTGAGGCAAATTCAAGGTCTCCTGATTAGTAACGAATGAAGATACTGGCCCTTCCTCAATTGTCCATGTGTCTTAGAGGTGTGTATCTATTTTTTGACATTAATGGGATTTAGACACCCATAAGAAACCCATGGACTTATGAATATGCAAGAAGACCTTCAGCCTCACAGGTTTATCCATTTAAGAATTATTCTACTACATCCTCCTTTATTCTTTCTCTACTATTATTATTTTTAAAAAATAAAAAAATCAAACAGGTATCTATGTTTAATGCAGTATGTCATGCTAGGTAGGCAAAAATCTACACAAATCCACCTGTATGTATTCTCAGTTTATGAACTAAAATAACACTGACCTTTAAAAAATTTTGGAGTCAGTGTTAGAAGCTTTTTTTTTTATTAACTGCAAACAGCAAATTGCCAGGCAGCCTGGGGAATGAGTCAGCAGCATTTCAATAATTTTATTTACTCAGAGAAAACAAAATAACGGGTTTCTATTGAATAAATATGATTCTATGTTTATTCAATGACAAAAATAAATTGAAAAAAATTGTTTTTCAAAAATTCCAGAATTATTTAATCTATCTTTGAAAATAGAATTCTTTCTTACAATAGAGTTTGGGACTCATTTTTAAAGTACTGCGGAACCAATCCTTGATATGTTTAAGCAATAAATTTCCTTTGGTCCCTATTTTAGTCATTTCCTACATTCCATGAACAGGATATGGAAGGAGTGGCTGTTTCCCATTTATCTAATCTATCTCTAACCTTGGAGACTAAGGTTAAATTCAACTCCTTTCTTGCCCATGGGCTGCAGACGGGAATCATTCAGCGGCAGCAACCACCCACTTAATTTTATGTGTGAGACATTATCCTCTCCAGATAGCAATGATAAAGGGCTAGAGGACAAAAATCTGTGTCATCCATTCAAACATACCTGAAATTTCTCTAACTGAGCAAAAGAGAAACTATAAATAGCTGCAAAGTGGTATCATGCAAATATGAATTTTTTATCATAATTATCTTCTTTTCTACGATAAAATTTTATTGTTAAATGTTTAACTAATAATAATATAATGGGAATAATCCCCTTTCCTTCAAGTTTAAAGATGTATTGATTTTGCAATACTGGTCCTGTAATTTGAATTATTGTCTATGTAATGAGGCAAGTTGGAAATTTTCTATTCATTACAATATAAAAAGGAATACATGAAAAATAATAGCTTAAGATACAAACATCTGTAATGGAGGGTGGAAAGAAACTTGTAATTGTACACTAAGCATCTACATTTCTT